AGGGGCTTAGGAGAAGGAAGAGTTATAGTAAGGGGGGCTATATATTCGTATTATTATTTTTTAGAATTTTTTTTAATGTTAAATATCTAAATTTAATTACATTTTAAATATTTAAGCCTATATGTTAAGCCTTCTGCAATATTTTAATTTAAACGCGAGTTCTTTAGTTTAAAACCAGGTTATTTTTGTAGTTATTAAAGTAGCATTTAATCAACAGAATTATAGAACTTGTTTAATTTTGCATATTATTAAACCCCTTTAATTTGAAGTGCCTCTGGCTTAAGTCCTTTTGTAATGTAGTTCAGTTTGTGGCTTAACGTTTGCATGATGTATTGGCATATTTGAAGCCAGAGGTTTGGCTCCCATTTCAAACACACAAAACACACACTCTATCAAGCCCCACAGCACATACACCGATACATTCGAATAATGCTAGCAGAAAATATTTCAATGGCATTATTTGCGCTTATGAATTATTGACGTAAATATTGAATGTGTATTTATGTGGTATTTTCTTTTTTAATATTCCACTAACTGATGAGTTTGTTGTGGTGCGGTCCATTGTCGCTGCATGTTGACAAATTGCTCGCATTTATTCTATCATTTAAAGTACTCATATTAATCAGGGATATTTCATTATATTTCGTTACTTTGCAGAAATGCTCGTCGCTGGCCCCTGATGATTGACCCACAGGGACAGGCCAACAAATGGATTAAGAACTATGAGAAGAGCAACAAACTCTGTGTGATTCGCCTGAATCAGGCCGATTACACTCGTGTCATGGAGAATGCCATACAATTTGGCTTGCCCGTTCTGCTGGAAAACATTGGCGAGGAGTTGGATCCCGTTTTAGAGTCTGTGCTCACGAAAACACTTTTTAAACAGGGCGGAGCACTGTGCATCAAATTGGGAGACTCAGTTATTGAGTATAATCATAGTTTCAGGTGGGTACTCATATATTTTTATAACGCTATTAAGAAATTTAATAATATTTTTACAGATTCTATATGACAACCAAGTTGAGAAATCCACACTATTTGCCTGAGGTGGCCGTCAAGGTAACCCTGCTGAATTTCATGATCACCACACAGGGCTTGCAGGATCAATTGTTGGGCATAACGGTGGCCAGGGAACGTCCAGATTTGGAGGCGGAGAAGAACAATCTTATTGTCCAGGGAGCTGATAACAAACGGATGTTGAAGGAGACCGAGGATCAGATATTGGAGGTGTTGTCCTCGGCTGAAAACATTCTAGAGGATGAAACGGCCGTTCAGATTTTGAGCTCGGCCAAGGCCTTGGCCAATGATATTAGTGAGAAACAGATCGTCACCGAGGCCACGGAAAAGCAGATAGATATAGCGCGATTAAGTTATGTGCCCATAGCCGAACACTCAACCATTCTGTTCTTTACCATAGGTGAGGAATGTATAACTCTTAGTTAAATTTTATCAAACTTATTTGATTTCACAGTGGAGCTGGCCAACATCGATCCCATGTACCAGTATAGTTTGGCCTGGTTCGTCAACCTGTACATGTCGTCCATCGATAATACGGAGAAGGTGGACGACATAGCGGCACGTCTGCTGGATCTGCGAAATCACTTCACCTTCAGCTTGTACGTCAACATCTGTCGCAGTCTCTTCGAGCGTGTGAGTGCCCATTGGACAAACCCAATTATTGGCAATTCGCCGGTCCGCTTGTCCTTCCGATGTCCGGTATTCTGACCCTTTGGCATCGTTAGGCCCGTAATTGCGCATAATCTGATAATGTGACATTTGAAGCATGCTCCTTTGCGTTTCATTTGCTTTGTGGCTGAGCATCGTGCTCAGCTTGACTTGACTTGACTGCTTTTAAATAATATTTAAGCATTACTGGCTCCGCAAGTACATTCCACTTCTACGGACAATGAAGTTGAAGCAGTTGCTGTAACTAAATACTGACTGGTTACAATGGAAAGCAAACATTTAAAACCTGAGAAATAATCATTTTATATAGAGTATATTTCTTTTACTAACCATTGGGAACAATTGGCATTCCTAAAATTTAGGTCTATAATTTATTTTATTTATTTAATTTCTTGACAGCGTACAAGGGATGTAGAGCACTAAATTTCCAAATATTCCTGTCTGCATTCATATTTAAGTTTCTGATTCATTTAATCCACTGTGCACCTGCTCGAATAATGTTATTACATTGCTGGGTGCAATCAAAGGATGTACATAGCCAAAGGAAGCTGAGGCAAAAAAAGGAAATAATAATCCAAACAAGTTCTAGCCAGCTTTATGCTGTTTTCAGTCAATTATGCCATGGCCTTTCCCTGTCCCCTTGCCTTCACCCCCTTCGTTGCAAAGCCAGCCATGAGCTAACCTTTGATCCCTACCTTTTAATTTTCTTGTGCACAAAAAAAAGGGAAGTGAATTGCTATCAGAGAGGCAGCATCGCTTCTTGGACCGGAAAATGCTTTGATTTCGGTGGCCAACCTTTCCGAATAACCCATTTAATGCGAGTGTGAGCCTTTAAACTCTGACCCTGAACGACCCCAATCACATCACATCACTTCATATTCTTTGTCTGTTTATGCATTTAGAGAAAACTACTACAAGTTAGCACTTAAGCTAAATATAGAACAAATGTTTTATTATAAATTGAAAATATTTTAGTTGCAAGCTGTTGACTAAGAAAATCTGTGGATTTGTCTTCGTTATTTTAAAACCCATATTGACCTTTCAACTTTACCTAACCCCTTTCAATTCGAGTGTAATGAAATGTTCTCTGACCTTTGAACAGGATAAGCTGCTGTTTTCGCTAATATTGAACATCAACATTATGAAGCATGGCAATCGGATTGACAATGCCGAATGGATGTTTCTGCTGACTGGAGGCGTTGGGCTGGAGAATCCGTTCAAGAATCCCACCAGCTGGCTGGGTGTCCAGAATTGGGATGAGCTCTGTCGCCTGACTTCATTGGCCAATTTCAAGGGCTTGCGCGAGGACTTCGCTGACAATGCGGGACAATGGAAGTCCTTCTTTGATTCGAAGACGCCGCAGGATAACAAGGACATTCCGAAAGCCTGGGACAAGCGAATGAGCCAATTCCAGAAGCTTTTGCTACTCCGCGTCTTTCGGCCGGACAAGCTCGTTCCGGCTGTGTTGAATTTTGTTAAGGAAGAGCTGGGTGAACGGTTTGTGGATCCGCCGCAGTTCGATTTGATGGCCTCCTTCGCCGACTCGCATTGTTGTGTGCCCATGATATTTATCCTGACCCCCGGCTCGGATCCCACGGCAACGCTTCTGAAGTTTGCCGAGGATCAGGGCTTTGGCACCAATCGATTGTTCTCCCTATCCTTGGGCCAAGGTCAGGGTCCGATTGCGATGAAGATGATCGACGAAGGCGTTAAAATGGGTAACTGGGTGGTGCTGCAGAATTGCCATCTGGCAGCCAGTTTTATGCCATTGCTGGAAAAGATCTGTGAGAACCTCCTGCCCGATGCCACACATCCGGACTTCAGGCTATGGCTCACCTCCTATCCGGCGGACCATTTTCCGGTTGTGGTCCTGCAGAATGGCATCAAGATGACCAACGAACCGCCCAAGGGACTGCGCTCCAACATTCTCCGCTCAATGCTAAGCGATCCGATCAGCGATGCGGAGTGGTACGAGTCCTGCACTCAGCCGAGGATCTTCAAGCAGCTCATCTACTCGCTGTGCTTCTTCCATGCGGTCATCCAGGAGAGGCGATACTTTGGACCGATCGGCTGGAACATCCCGTACGAGTTTAACGAAACCGATCTCAGGATATCCCTGATGCAACTGCGGATGTTCCTCAACCAATACGAGACTGTTAACTATGACGCCTTGAGGTATTTAACGGGCGAGTGCAATTACGGAGGCCGAGTCACGGATGATTGGGATCGTCGCACGTTGAAAACCATTTTGGATAAGTATTATTGTCCAGCCGTTATTGATCTGGAGAAGCCATACTATCTCGATGAAACGGGCCAATACTATGTGCCAGTGTTCAAGGAGGTGGACTTGTATTTGAACTTCACGCGAGATCTTCCGCAGATCTCGACCCCGGCCATCTTTGGGTTCCATGCCAATGCGGATATCATGAAGGACCAAAAGGAAACGGACATGTTACTATCGCACACTCTGCTCACGCAAGTAAGTTTACCTTGATTATACTCTAGAAAGTAGTTTTTGTATTCAGTATTTTGCTTGTGAAAAACATTGCTAAATATTTTTGCTACTTCATTGCTCGCTTTGCCACAAAAGGAACGTTGGGTAAGAGTTTTTCGAGTAGTTTTAATACAAATACATTCATTAACGTTTACGGTTTTATTGCCTCATTTTGTTTAGGACCTATATGATCGACGCGTAAGTGCCGTCTAATTCTTGCTAACGCTTTAAGACACATACAGCTATTTAATGATATTCTTGTTTAACACGCTGCGCTTTAGAAATTGGAGAAAAAACAAAGAGTCTATGTAGAAACGATTAGTAGACGCTTCCCCGAAAACCTTTCCCTGCCCACTTATCCAACCTGTCCCCCCTTCCTTGCCCTGCACCACTTGCCTCTGAAGGACACGAGTGCCTCCTCGGATGACAGCGGCAGTTCCAAGACTCTGACGCCCGAGGAGGTCGTCACCAATGTGGCCACCGATATCCTGGAAAAGTTACCCAAGCTCTTTGACCGAGATGCAGCCCTGCTGAAATATCCAACTCTGTACCACCAAAGTATGAACACGGTTCTGGTTCAGGAGATGGTACGCTTTAATGTCCTGCTGAACACGATTCGAACCAGCCTTATCACACTGCGAAAGGGAATCAAGGGTGAGTTATTTATGTTATCTATGGATTTTACCAACTTTACTTTAATTATTTAGTAGGCTTTTTCATTATAATCAATAAATCTACAAACTAATGATATAAAATAAACTCAGCCAAATCAATAAAATCTTACCAATGCATGGAAATTTTGGCACGTATGCACGTCATTATAAGCCAAGAAAAGCCTACTAATCTTAATTTTATTTTTATTGTAAATCAAATTCTGAAACCGCTCTACTTGCGGTTTCTACAGTAATGTTATTGACAGGCAAATGGTCGTCACTTGTTTGAATGGGAATCACTGCATCAAGAGGAATATTAAAGTGCGAGCCTAATGAACCGATTTACCTTTTTCCTCAATTTCTGTATCTTTTTGGGCATCGGGATTGTTCATTTTAATATTGATTGCTTTTTCCTTTATTTCATCAGGTTTAAGTAAACTCTCCGGTAGATTTAAAACTTTTGGTCCCGAAGAACGTACGGGTGGTATAAAGGAACTGGAATGTGAGACCAAAGGTTCGGGTTCAAGTTCGATGTTTAGTTCCTGTTTCTTAGTCGCTTCTTTAGGTGGTTCCAAATCTTTGGGAATTGAATCAATGGATTGCAAATCCTTAGAATCTAAAGTTGTGGGTATCAACTCTTTGAAAGTTGAGTCAACTATGTCAACTATGTGTTCCAATTCTTTGGGATTTGAGTCCTTCAGTTCCAATTCTTTGGGATTTGAGTCCATCAGTTCCAATGCTTTGGGAGTTGAGTCCATCGGTTTCAATTCCTTAAGAGTTGATTCCACTCGTTCCAATTCTTTTGGCGTTGCATCCATTTGTTTCAATGTTAGCTCTCTTGAATCCAATGGCTTTACGTCTTCTTTTTCGATTTTCAGTTCTTTGTTAGGGGATTTAGATGGTTGCGGTAACTCATAGTATAATTCCATTGGTGTGTCAGATGACAATAGCATTTGATCAAATGGGACTTTGGGCGAATCAATATAAATTTCTTTATAATTCTCTTGCTTTCCAGATAATTCAAGTTGTTCTTCTTTATTGTCCTCTTTTTCAAGAAGTTTCAATACCCCAAGAGCACCATTTTTTTCTGCACCTTGGGGAAGCACTACCCTATAGCCTCTACCTTTAAGCGATAAAAATTCCAACGTTTCAGACATATCCAGAGTGCTTCTCATACTGAATAAATCACTTTCCTCGTTTCCGGTGTTGCTAATGGGATTAATCATATGAGATCCTATAAACTCATCATCCCCGAATGGCTGCTCTTCGACTGGAACCTTATCGAGATTTTCCAATGGTCTTGTGATATTGTCGATTTTGAACTTTCTCATTAAGGACAACGTCTGTTTGCGTAGAAAGTTCGATCCTGATAGTGAATCAAGATTTTCAAAATCAAATTTGTCCTTTTCTCGAATATCGTCCGAGCTCCGAATGTCACTGTGAGACATAGTCATACGCAGATCGATTAAATCGGCGGATTTGACGGCTGGTGGATTTTCCATGCTATACAAAATACTGGCGAATATGTCATCAATTAGATCGTTATAGTTCTCGGTCACGATGCGTTCACTATCCTCTAGCCAGCGTCTTCCAGGAACAGCCTGTCGAATGAGCTTTCTCACAATGGCATGGGCCTCGCGCCAAGATGATTTTTGGGGTATTTCACTTTCGCTGTCCGTGGACATGAGGTATAAGTCGTTGTCGATCAGACGATCTATAAGATCGCTCGTTAATGTGCTGGCTATGTCAAATGGGTCTAATTCCAGCCAGACTTTTCGAAATATTACATCCTCCACCACGTAATGCACGATTAGGGATTTCTCATGGCGCTGAAGAGCTTCGTTCATATTGGGTGAGACCTGTTCCTTTAGCATTAGCCGTAGAGGAACAAAAGTGAGGGGGTTCTGAATCAGTTTGAAGCTCTCCAACCAGCGCTCTATATCCGCATCGATTTGCCTGGCCAACTCACCTACGGTCTCGGTAGCCTCGCCCTCGGCCACATTGTACATGTCCGAGTTCAGAATGGTGCTGATATACTCATTGGAGACAGCATTGTTGACCACATTGCAGTGCTGGAACAACTCCTCGTACATCAATCTCATATCGTTCTCCTTCTGCCTTAAGCCAGCTTCGGCTGCCTCGCGCCTCCAGCGTTCCTTTTGGCACATAATCGAGAAAAAGTGTAGTCGGCGAAGCTCCGCGAGACGAGTCATCTCCTCCGAGAGGAACTGCATCACCCAGCCAATGTAGGTGCCCTCGTAGATGTTCAATATATTCTCCAAGCCCTCTTGAATCCTCTCGTTCTTTAACATTTCAATCATGGTATCTGAATTTCGAGCTTTCTCCTGATCAATGTAATTGGCCCACTGGCCGCCGATATCAGGTGTTTTTCTTTTCTCTTCTTTGAAAGAATCATCGGACTCGTCTTCGTATAAATTGGTCTGGAAGCCCAGGCTCATTTGGGATGCCGTTCTAGTCATTGTCTGCTTCCATCGCTTTCTGAGACATTTTGGCTCTGCTTTCTCCTTGGCGGCCTGGGTTCGCAGGGCCTTGAGGTTTTCGAAGAGCTTCTGCAGATTGTCATCGTTGCAGAAGTTTCGCTCGTATTCCTTTTCGTATTTCTTGGGCTTGGACCAGTCCTTGAGCTTTCTGAACGGACACTTGAGGTTGCTGGTGTTGACTCGCTTCTCCAGCTCGTCGATCCTCATGTCGAACGCCTTTTGTTCAGTTTTCGAGACAAAGTTTCGTCGTGCCGGATTAATGCCGTACCTTAAGAGTGGAGCGTAGAACTCGGAGCACGGGGATCCCAAAGAATACATTGGGCTCTGCTTTTGCCACCTTCGCGGAGTGTTCGTGACTTGGAACTCCAAACGACGCATGCCCCGCTGGAATTCGATCTCGTTCTTTCGCAAACCCGCCTGGCGACACTTTTCGATTCGCTCGCAAGCCTTTTCGATTCGCGAATTTGAGGCGGCGTGCATTTCCTTTTCCCTCTTGTCGAACATCTTGATCACAATCTCGAGTCGCAGCATCTGGCACTCCTGTATGTCCTCCTCCCGCTGGATCCAGTTCTCCCACTCGAAGGCTTCCAAAATCTCCTTGTGCTGCGTTTTTAAAGCCACATTCCTGGCCTCATCGAGCAGTCTTTTGAAGTGTATCTTTAGGGCGTCGTTGAAAGCCCAGCGCTTTCGGGCACGCTCCAAAATCTCCACTTCGTGAAGACCTGGTGGATTTGCTCCAGGCAACACAGATGGCAGGGAAAATAGCTCCAAGGTTTGCTCTTTGTCTGCATCTAGAATTTCCGGCAAATAGTTCATGGTCTGCGCAGAGGATTCCCTACGATTTAGGTACATTGATAATATTAAGTTTATTAAAGTTTTCTTATAGTTTACCTGTAAAGCGTTTGGGTGATTTTATTCTTAAATGGTCGCGTATCCTTAAATTCAGCAAAGAAATCGCATTTGTGTTTCAATTCCTTTTTCAAGACTACACGTGGATTCAACTTGACCTCATGGGTTTTGACCGTATCATCTTGTTTGGTAAGAAAATGAAATCCTGGGGCATTGAACTGACATTCGCTGTCAGTGCGCGGCAATTTCCCAGCATTGCGTGGGGCAGGATCATTGGCACCTAGATAATAGTGGTCATTAATCTAAAACTCTGGGGAAATTGTAATACAATATATGTATACCTCCAACCATTCGTAAATCGGGTGAACTGGTAATCAAACAAGATAAAAGGCAGTGATCACTCTGCTTTTCTGTTTTTCCACCATGCTTTTCTCTGTTCTGCTGCTTACTGAACGCAACACGTTTGACATTATCCTGCCGATGTCCTGTTGAATTGACTAAAGTTGACAAACTTGCAGCTTTTTCTTCTGCTTTTAGCCCAAACTTAACCTGGTTTACTAGTCGCGTGTTATGTGTAGACATTATAGAACATTTATTTTGTTTAGTGAATTAAGTGTTATTTATTAGTATTTTTTTTTTATTTAGTGTTGGGGTTTGGTGTGTTTTAATGGGTATTGTTTTAGCAAATGAGTTTCATTTCTAATTAATTCGGAGCTACATTTTCGTCGGGCTACTAAGTTTAATTTAATGTTACTTCGTTTTCTTGTTAATACATTTCATCAAATCTTAGATTTAAACGTTTTTTTTTTTTTGTATTCAATCATTTCTACTTAATGAACTAACTTCTTATTACCTTTTTACCCACAGGTTTGGTTGTAATGTCTGCTGCAGTTGAGGCGGTTTACAAATCCGTATTGATAGCCAAGATACCAGCTATGTGGGCTGGAAAATCTTACCCTAGTCTGAAACCTCTGGGTAGTTATGTAAATGATTTTCTACGTCGCCTTGAGTTCCTGCAGGTGAGTAGTTATAATCTATTTAAATATATATTTTAAATATATTTTCTATCGGTCATAGCACTGGTACGATCATGGAGCTCCTTCAACTTTCTGGCTTTCTGGGTTTTTCTTCACCCAGGCCTTTCTAACGGGTGCCCAGCAAAACTATGCGCGAAAGTATGTCATATCCATAGATTTGCTGGCCTTCGATTACGAGGTTCTCTCGGTGGAGGAGAGCCAAAGGACGGGCCTATCTGGTCCCGAGGATGGTGTCTATGTGTATGGCATTTTCCTAGAGGGTGCACGCTGGGATCGCACTGGAAAACATCTTGAAGAATCCCGGCCACGAGAGCTGTTCGATACGATGCCATTGATTTGGCTGAAGCCACTCAAGCGGGTTGACCTGCCCGAGCGTCACAACTATCTGTGTCCAATGTACAAGACGGCCGAAAGACGGGGAGTATTGTCCACCACAGGTCATAGTACCAATTTTGTGGTGGCAATGCTGCTACTTTGCAATCCCAAAACCCCAATCTCTCATTGGATTATTCGTGGCACGGCCCTGTTGTGCCAGCTGAGTTTCTAAGAATTGACGACACTCTTGCGCTACTAAATTATATATTTTTAAAAGTTTAATGTAGGCTAAATAAAAAGAAAAGTCTGAGCATCATGTCTAAAAAAAAACATACCTAAAAATAATATCTTAAAACATTAATTTAAAGAATAACAAATGCATTTCTTTGACTCCATCAAACAATATTTTTAAACTTCTTTTCAAGCTAAATTACAAGTAATTCTTAATGCCAATAACAAAATCCGGTATTCCAAGTTCAGTCCGTTAAATTTGGTTATAAACATTTCTTCATTCACATGTAAATTCCATTAATATACGCGTATGAAAGTAACGAAAAGTGCCGTTACCCAAGAGGTGAAAACCAGGAATTTTCCAAAATTATCTAAACTTGAAGAGCTGCGAGTCTTTGGGGTAATAAACAACTACCTCCTCACCCACTTCGGAATGCTCTTCCTCAAATTCGTCGTCATTGGTTGTTGTTGCGCTACCTTCTTTCTGATAAAATTCCTCTTTTTCTTCTTCAGCTTTTTCTAACTCTTTTTCTAAATCTTCGTCATTAGAGCTACTTTTGATTTCACCTTCGATATTCTCAACAAAAGTCTGTTGTTCAAGCATGGGGTTATTGTGGATTAACGACGAACCGCGCAGTTCCCTAAGATTTTCTAAATGCTCGGCAAGATCGACAGTGCTTTTGATGCTGAATAATTCAGGAGATGGAATCTTCGTATGTTGAGTACTCAAGATTTTCGTTTGCTGAAGCTCCTCGCTTTTTATAAAGTCAAGTAAACTAGAATCATTAATTAGCTTAAATTTCTCATCGGTCTCTAGTTTCGCGGTAATATCATCATATTTGAACTTTTTAGCTAGAGATAAAAATTGAGTTTTTAATAGTTTTGTATTTTGCATCGAATCTGAACGAGAGTCTTTCAATTCCGACTTCTGCCTTCTTGGAATCTCATGCTGAAAGTAAGCAAATGACTTGCTTGAGCAGAGTTCGAGAAGATCGTCTGAGGGATTTTCGAACTTGAATAGGATTTCGTCGAAGACATCGTCGAACAGGCTGTTGTAGACTTCGGTGGCAATCCGCTCGTTTTCCTCTTTCCAACGTCTGCCCGGAACCGCCTGGCGAATGAGTTTCCTCATTATGGCATGGGCCTCGTACCAGGACACTTTCTGCGGACCCTCGCTTTCACTCTCCGAGGAGGAAAACAGATACAGATCGTTGTCGATGAGGCGATCGATTAGATCGCTAGTCAGAGTGCTAGCTATGTCATACGGTTCCAACTCTTGCCAAACTTTGTCAAAGATCACATCTTCCACTATGTATTGGGTGATCATAGATGCCTCGTAGCCCTGGAGCACAGCATTTAGATCCGGACACACCATGTCTTGCAGCATTAGTCGCAGTGAAGTGAATGTGTGCGGATTCTGAATGAGCTTGAAGGACTCTAGCCATCGCTCTATGTCCGCATCGATTTGCTTGGCCATCTCGGCTACAGTCTCGGCAGCCTCGTCCTCCATCATGTGGTTAATGTCGGTGGTGAATATGTTGTCGGCATATTTCTGTGCCGTTTCACCGTGAACCACATTGCAAAACTGAAACATCTCCTCGTACATCAACCTCATGGCGTTCTCCTTCTGCCTCAATCCCGCCTCGGCAGCTTCACGTCGCCAGCGTTCTTTTTGGGCCAAAATGCTGAAGAAGTGCAGCTTGCGTTGCTCCTTCAATCGTTGCATTTCGTTGGATAGGAACTGCATGAGCGAGCCAATGTAGCTACCTTCGTAGGAGCATATCAGATTCTCCAAATCCTGACGACCTCTGAGTGAATCTCTTTGCCTATCTGCCTTTGGTGCGACCTTGGAAGCTACCTTTGACTTGACTTTGCTGGTCGCTCTGGAATATTCGGTCATGCGTGTCTTTCTAGCTAACATATTGTAGGAATGATAGGAGTCGCTCGAATCCGTACTTGGTGCTCGGTGCTCTATACGTAGACGTGTTTTCAGACAATTGGGCGAATCTTTGGACATGTCCGCCTGGGTTCTCAGGGTTTTGAGGGACTCGTACAGTCGCTGTAGATTGCCATCGTTGCAGAAGTTCCGCTCGTACTCCCTGTCGTACTCCTTGGGCTTGGACCATTCCTTAAGTTTGCTAAATGGACACTGAACATTACGCATATTGACCCGCTTCTCCAGATCATCGATCCTCATGTCGAATGCCTTGCGTCCGGTAGAGGATTCAAAGCTCCTTCGGGCCGGATCGACACCATGTCGTGTCAGGGGTCCGTAGAACTCGGAACAGCGCGATCCGAGGGCCTGCATGGGGCTTTGTTTTTCCCACTTGCGAGAGGTTTTGGCCAACTGGATACCGATGCGACGCATGCCCCGCTGGTACTCGACCTCGTTCTTGTGCAGATCCGCCAGTCGACGCTTCTGGATGCCTTCAAAGGTCTTCTCTATTCGACTCTTCGAGGCCGCATGCATTTCCTTCTCCCTCTTGTCGAACATCTTGATCACAATCTCGAGTCGCATCATCTGGCACTCCTGTATGTCCTCCTCCCGCTGGATCCAGTGCTCCCACTCGAAGGCCTCCAATATCTCGGTGTACTCCTTTTGCATGGACACTTGCCTGGCCTCGTTCAGTAGTCTCTGCAAGTTCGCCTTCAGTGCCTTCTTAAAGTTCCATCGCCTGCGGGAACGCTCCAGAAGCTCGACTTCATGCAGTCCTGGTGGCTTGTCGCCGGGCAGCAATTTGGCCAGACTAAACAGCTCGACGGTTTCATTTCTTTCTCGGTTCTGTACCTCTGGTAAAAATGCCAAGGTCTGCGCAGAAGATTCCCTAAAAAGGAGTTATTTTTGTGGTTTTTCAACCCAAGTATCTTTTGTATCTTACCTATAAAGAGTTTGTGTGGCCACATCGTTGAAAGGTCGATTTTCCACATACTTTGGAAAGAAATCGCACTTGTTTTTCAATTCCTTTCTCAAGGGCTTTGAGTTTAGCTTGACTTCTTGAGTCGCCAGATCCGAGTGTACATTTTGCAGAAAGAAAATACCTGGCTCCTTGAATTGACATTCGCTGTCGGTTCGAGGCAATCGCCCGACATGGCGCACCGCTGGATTGTTTGCGCCTAAACATAAAGATTTTATGTCTGTGAATATCAGTATTTTTATTCAAACCCACCTGCCATTAATCGGGAATCTGAGGACCTCCTGCATGACGAACTTAACTGGCATTTGCTGTCTGCTCGAGGAATTTCTTTACTATTTTCGGATGGATTGTTGTCACCTGAAAAAATGAGAAAACAATTATCTAACGCTCAAATGATGGTAAGTTTTCGTGTTGACCCACCGCTTGTTAATCTGGTATCCGATGGCTTTGTTATCAAACACGATGTTAGCCCCTGTCCAATAACCTTGTCATTATCTCTGGTCTTTGAAGACTCTCCAAAGCTTCGCTGTTGTTTGCCATGTGTAAATGTGACACGTTTCTTCTGCCGCAAAGTTTCCTCCTTTCTTGGCGAAGCTGATGGAAGAACTGAATTCGAGTTGATGGGCCTCAGCTCGCGGTTTTCTCGGATAAACTGAAGGATTCGTTCCTTCCGCAATGTCTTTTCCTTTGCTGAGGGCATTTCTTGTTTAAATCAAACCTACTATTGGTGTTCCTATTTGTTGTGTGTTTCCAGGTGTTCTCTGTTTGAAGTGTGATTAATGCATGCTCTCAATTGTTATGTAACTAGCTTACTGGGTTAACTAGTAAAATTGCTGCCTAACAGCTCAAACTACAATGGATTGTGCAAAACATTGGGTTAGTCAGTCACTGAGTAGCAATTGCGATTCACCAGGCAACCGAGTTGCTGCTAGGGAGGCACATTTGTTTGTTGGCCAATCGATAGGACCCGATTCGGTTATTAACCAAAAATAGTTGGTACACATACATTGCAGTCATATAAAATATAGAGTAGATTTCATATGTCTGCCACCGACTAGGATTTTAGGTTTAAGACAAACAGTACATTTGTTTTTTTAAAAATGTAGAATATTTATTTTATAGACCAAACTTTATAAACCAAATTTATAGATCACAAAACCACGA